TTATCCACTTAAAAAATCAAGAAAATAAATCACCTCATACTTTCTTCCAGAACATTAATATTTCTGTTTTAATATTTGATATACCCAGAGGTCTCAACACCATTATTTACCCTGGACTTTATCCCTTAACCCCTGAGCTCATTGTGGTCCACAAGAATACAGATCCCAAAGCTTTCTCCTCATTGTGTGGCCTCCCCAATTTACCCTTTTGTTACTCATGTCCTCTTTATTTATCTCTCCTAAAAAACTCTAAACACTCAATTAAGTGTTCTGACCCACCTCCGGAAAGGTCTCTCTTTTGTCATTGCTGGCTCTATCTCTTAAATTTCCTATTTCCGTTCTAAGAAATAACTACCTTTTTTATATCAGATGAGCTGTAGAGTTAGAGATACACGCCAGGGAAACAGTGAGGGCCCCAGTAGGTAAATGATGGGGCCCATGAACCCAGATAAGAGAGAGGGAGAAGGTGATGCGAAAAGATCACCAGGTCATCTGAGGTTTAATGAATACATATCTCCTTTTCAGGCGGGAGTTCTAAACAAGAGATCAAAGGTAGAGTCCCCTTGGACGGAAGGGTGGGGCCCCAGAGAGCCGTGGGGAGAAGACAGAGTGTCCTCTGGAATCTGGGCTAACATCAAGCTGAGGGGCCAGAAGCTAAAAGACACGCTTTCCTCTCTGAGACCCTTTACCGGGTGGGCGGCGCGGGAGGAGTCCACCAAGCTGGACCCTGGTTTCTCAGGCTGGACGTCCTTTTCGAAGGATTTGCATAAGATAGAAGAACGCCTGAGCAGTGGGCGTGCTTTGCAGAGCTTGGGACGGACAATCCCACGAAGCTGAGCCTGGGTGCGCGCGCGTGCGTCTCTGGCGAGGCTGGTACAGGATCGAGCAGGTTGAACACCGATGGTACAGATTCTACTAGCGCGCGCGCGGCATTTCGCACCGCCCCGGGAGGGCAGGAGAAGGGGAAAATCACACCCGACTGAGCCCCGCCCCCAGCTCTTACCCCTGTAGGGGCCCACCCTGTGCTGGGCACTGTTGTGCAAGAGATGCAATTCCATCCCACAGCTCACTCTGCCCTGCAGTGAATCCCAAGGTTCAGACCCTGGGTTCAGATCCTGGCTCCTGCAACGACGCGCGCAACTAAACTCGCGGGTCCTCCAGGTTTCCCACCTACATCCAAGCGCTGCAGACATAGTCCAGGCAGGGAGGCTCACGGGTGCTCTCCCTCCAGTGCAAGCTCCAGAGGAGGCTGAGGAGACATCCTCACACCCAGCGCAGCCTCGTGGCTTCTGCAGAGAGGCTCGCTGCGCTGCCTTGCACACAGGCCCACCCCCACGCACTCGCAGGGCTTCCGTGCTCAATGGGCCCGTCTCGGGGGTGTGGGGAGTGCTCAGTGCCTGTGTCCAGGAACCCCCAGTGCCCGGAAATCAGCCTGGGGCTCCTCCAGCTCCTGTCAAAGGTGGTTTGTCTCCAGGTGGGTCCGATCTCACGCGAGGGTCTCGCCTGTTCCTTTCCCTGGAGGGCTCAGTCCCAGCAGAACGCAGCTCACTGTGCAGCCATGTGGGTACAGGTGGTGCGAAGAAGCCCCATGGCCATCCAAGATCCGGGTTCCTCTCTCCTTGACATCGCCCTCTGAGCAAGTGAGGAGAGGGAGTCAAGGAATTCGTACACGCTAGGGGCCTGGAACTGTGCCCGACCCTTGGAAGAGCCCAGTAATCGCAGCTGCCTGAAGTCACCAGGCTGTGTCTATCCAAGACCCTGGCCTTGGATCTCTCACCAGGACTGAATCCTTGCTGCTGCGGCTCCATAGGCCCATTTGTTGTCGGGCAACTTAGGTGGTGACACCACTGCCAGGCGCCACCTGAGGGCTCCTGGTGGTGATGGAAGGACTGTTCTCTCCACCCCAGCGAGGGGTCCTTGTTTCAGGATAAAGAGAGTTAGACCCCCTCATTCTCACTACAATCTGCTTCGTTCATGTAACACACACAGTCCACAGACCGCACACCGACTCAGAGACCACAAGTCACAGAAACACACACACACACAGACCACTCACAGCTCCGCAGACACATCTTCAAGTCTAGATACAGAAACACCTAGACACACAGACACATGCTAGACTCAGACCACACTCACACAAACAAAGAGAAACATCGCACACACATACTCCACCTCACAACCACCTACCAAAGCTATCACAGGAACACCTAGGGGACCCTAACACACATAGACTTCAGACCACACAGACACACAGACTAGATTCCATCCCATTCGACTCACGCGGAACACACAAACACACAAACGCACAGACACACACATAGTCATTATCTTTCAATGCAGCCATATGCAGAAACACACAAAGAGCAGAAATACCTAGACACACAGACACAACAACAACCTCACAGACACTGACCACACAGACACACATGGTCACACATACAGAGACACACTGCACACAGACATACGCACACAAGACCACACATCACCACAGACATAACCCACGACCACACACATACACACCAGACAGATGCACACACAGAGAGACGCACAGCCACACACCAGATACACACAGCATACGGCAAGACACACAGATCACGACACAAGTAGACCCACACAAGAGACACAACAGAGCATACCCACAACAGAGACACACACAACAGAGATACACCCCACGGCAGCCACACACGACACACAGAACAC